ATTGCCTCTAGTATGACGATTGAACTTGAGGTCTCCATGGAAGGATTGGTTACCAGCCAGTCTATTTACTTGCCCCCAACCTGTACCTTTAAGGCATATTTACTAAACAGTCATCATGTATAGTTTCCAGTGTAGTAAGTTAAGTCAGCTTTATTATTTGTAAGTGCGACATGTGGGGACTTCAACACATTCTGTTTGGGGTAAACTCCATTGAAGTACAAGTCATAATGGGCACGCCACCGTCGGCGAACAACCGACCTTAGCTCAGTTGGAAGAGCGTGAGACTGTAATCGGTTGTCTATCTCAATGTCGCCTGTTCGAGCCAGGCAGGTCGGAAATATTTTATTATAATCCAAGAGAAGATGCCTATGTGGACACCAATGAGATTGAGGCTAAAGTCGGGCTAGAAGAGATAGCCGAAAAACAGGGCAGAGGAATTTGGGTGGTTAAAATCCAGCCACTAACTTCTGTGGATAGTTTTATTTTTTGTAAGAAGGCTACCATACAAAAAATAAGATAGGGACAGGAGGGAGGTTAAGCAAAGAGTTATACTGCCTGGCTTGGAAGCTAAGAGATATAACTAATGGTAAGAATCTCTGAAGATATTGAAGTGAGATAAATTACCTAGAAAAGATGACTGAGAGGTGAGAGAACCTGATGGGGTTCTATGTGTGACATCATCATTCCTAAATAAAATGTCTGAGACCACTTCACATGAGGGTTTGTAAGAGCATCACCCAAAAATGTGAAAGGACTGTTTGGATGTATATACATGATGGGACCAGAATTCTGAGCCAGATGCACTCATTAGAGTTAAGTAAATAGATATCCAATAAGATTGATGCTAAAATCAGACTAGAAGAGATAACTAAAAAAACAGGGCAGAGGTATTTAGGCAGTTAAAAACCAGCCACAAACTTCTCCATATAGTTTTATTTTTTGTAAGAAGGCTATAAATGGATGTTTCTTATTCCTTCTTCTTGCCTAGCCACAAGGCTGACCAGATGTTTGAAGGCTATTCTGTTATTGTCCCTGCCAATAATTTTAATGCAAAGCCCCTTCTCATGTTCACTGCCCATCTTTCCTTACATGTTATTGTTTTCCCTTTAGTCTCCTCTTTGGCTTTGTTCTTCCAGCCATGTGCCTATTCAGTTATAGTTTATTCATTGTTTATGCTGTTTTTTCCTTTCTGATATAGCTGCCCAATCTATGTGAGCTGGTAGTGCAACTGAGCTTGCATGTGCTAGTGTTCCTCATCCTATCATTCAGACTATTGGCCATTGGACTTCCAATTCTTTCAAGATTTATATTTAAAAAAACTCTGTTCTTCAAGCTATGTGATCAGCTCATTCTTGTCCTTTCCACTTTTGACTTTTCTTTGTCTTACTTTCATTTTATTTTTTGTTCTTCACCATCATTTCTCATCTTATGTTTTATACAGTCCTGCATAGAAGGAGGTATCTTCTGGTGCTTTGGAGAACTGTAAAGACATTTACAACCCAGTGAGGTGTGGGCTACAAGAGGCAACTAACATCCATGGCTGTCATGTTGGTTGTTGTGAATAGGAAGGAATAATGTTCATCTTCTCAAGTCCCCAATCAGATCTGATAAAGGACTGTAATCATGGCAAACCTTGAGGTTAAGGATCAAGGAGGTAGATGTAATCAAACTGTTGGTCAGATAAAGTATCTCCCACCTCATTATAATGACCAGAGACATGCAAGATATGTAACTGATGCTTTGACAAAAGTAAGAGATTAACAATAAACATGAGGGATTGTAAGGAGGTTTTGCATGGAGTGAATTGAAAATAGCAACCATATTTGAATTATTGGTATAAACAACTAATCTCATAGGACAATCAGGCCATTAAGAAGATTTGTGAATAGCAGCAGCAACAGAGAATGCCTCATAGAAACAATCTCTTCAGAAGGAATATCAAATGAAAAAGGACAGTGATAATTTATGACTTGATCAGGAAACCAAAACCCAAGTCCATCAAGGCAAGTGTCAGTGTAGAGAGTCATGTCTGCATCACTGATATCCCATTGAATCAAGCTCACACACAATGAAAACACATCAAGAGGTAGAAGATGGTGTTCAGCTCAATGCAACTCTTGTTAAATGTATGCATTGACATAAATAGCAGCATTTGGATTGTGCTTACCCTCAATCTTTGCATAAATAGAGGATAAGCAAGGTGAAGGAAGGTGCAAGTAAAGGAAAAACATTGAATGACCAGTTCAGCCATCCAGCTAAATGCTACCAACAACATAAAGGGAACTTGATGTTTTTGTAATCCTCATATCAATAAAAAAGGCAGATTTCCTGAACAAGTTCAAGAATAGAATCATGAGGGAGGGTAAAGGTGAGGTTACTGGTATTGACTTCAATTCCAATAATAGTTAACACCAAACCAGAGAGTTGTTTCTTGACTTAATGCAGTGCACCAAGTTCATTGTAAAGGCATAAGAGTTTGCATTGTGGGATAGGCAGGTAAGGGATATAGAAATCAACATTAGAGGCCAGCACAATGCCAAAGCATCATCAGAATAATTGAGAGGCTAAGCAATGACCTTGACATAACAAGTAATCCAAATGACCAGAGCAGCAAAGGCAATGAATATAGATCCTGATCCACAACTTCCAAAAATGTTACAGCAATTGATAAAATGCAGATTTTCTATATTATTAACCTATTTGACTTGCTAGAAGAGGCTCATTGGACAAAGATAATGTGTGCCAGTATAATTGCATTTATATAGGACTATGGGCTTTCTATGATATTCCCTATGAAATTGCAACAGAACCTAACCAAGTAATTGAAAATTATCAAGAAAAAAGTGGTTTATATCATCATAAATCATAGAATTCAAAGAGAAACACCCAGATGAGTGATCAGTAACCATCCCACTTCACAATGTCATCACATGGAATACTGAATACTTCATCAACAATAGATGGGTAGCTATCTGAGTGAGTATCAGCCCAAGGCCAGAAACCCTCCCTCAGACCATAGACAACAGATACAACAAAAGCAGGATTAGGATAAATGTGTAGAAAGTTTAGCCTCAGGATAGAGGCAAATCAATTATCTCTGTAAACAAACAGGGAACATAGATGAAAATTAAAGAATATAAGTACAACAAAATAGCTGTGAAACTGCAGAAAAGCTGCACAGATCAAATACATTTAACATGTGAGGTCATTTACCCATCATTCTGTGGAGCACCAGCTTGGCATGATCAGCTTGCATATTTCAACAAAGTGACAAGATAAGACTGAAATAAATCAATATTGATAGGAGTAATGATGGTAAAAAGTAAAGGATTAGAGTAGATTGTGTTAACAACATTTGGATTGGTAATTTCACAAAGAGGGACAGAAGGCAAAGGTTTGTTGGTCCTAGTCCAGTCAGTCAGCAATGCAAGAACTCATAATAAAATTGTTACACCAGAAGTTATAACATTGATATTTAGGTCTTGGACTTAGAGAGTGTTGATTCCTTAGGACAGTCTTATTCACCATATGTCAAGCTAAGACAGCAATAGCAGGAGTAGACTTTTAACTGACATCATTGAACTGATTGCAGATCTCTAAATTGCTTCCATGTTTTGATCCTTTTGATCTGAAGTCTGAAGCAGAAGTAATTCTACTCTTGCTAGCTTATTTGGCTTCAATCCTGTCAGATTGGACAATGGCTTTGTAAAACATGTTGAACTTTTCAAAGTTGGTGAGAAGATGTGTCTGTTCTTCCACAACAAAATTTCAAATGGCACTATCAAAGAAGATAGTAGGGTAGACTGTTTCTTGCTTTGCTGCAAGTTTCCCCTGTATATATTCCCTAATGCAGAGAGTTCTTGCTGTCAGTGTGGGAACCACAAGGGAGATGGATTTAATAGTATGGGCCTAGACCATTGACTATTGTGGTAAGGATTTCTTTCACAAGGTCAGGTTTTGTAAATCTGATTTCAGTAGATCCCACATGTCCAACATCCTCTTGAGGAGGAATAATGAGGTGAATTGAGCTGAGGATTGCATTAGGATTGATAGCACAATCTCTGAAGATTGAATTCTATTCACTGTCAGAGATGCAGATGGGAGCAAGTCTAGAATTTTGGATTTACTTTGGAACCATTTTGGATCAGTAGCATACAAGTTGAGTAACTCTTGTGCACCTGTTGCTGGCACATATATGGACTGTAGTACCATAAACAGTATTTGTATATTTAACTGTAATTACTATAGGCATGTCTGCACATATGATAGTAATAAATGTTGCCAATTAGGCTAATAGAACCAAAGACCTATTGATTTAAAAGATTTAATATAACAATAGACTGGTAGTTCAGAAAGACCATTGAAATATTAATATATATATTTGCTGTGCCACAACAGGTTTGTTGAGCAGACAATTAGAGGGAGTATATAGAAATTAAATTTCTTATTTTTATCTTGGCCTTATTTCAAAGCCTTATATATATAAGATAATATTGTACTAGATATTTCTACATAGTTCTGTAAGTATGACAAAGGACAGAAAATATCCATTGATTATCAAATTAGAACTTTCAGGATGTTCTTGGACATTCAAGGATTGACCTTTTAGGTCCTTGAACCTTCCATCAACACTTCCCCTCAATCTGAAGACATGCCAAGTAACATGATGTTTGCTTCATAAGCTAGTTGTGGGAGCAGTTTGGTGAATATATCAGCATGGTTATCTTTGAAGGTCCAGTGGAGAATCTTGACTTCACAAGAAGTCACATGTTCACATACAAAATGATGTTGAATATCAATATGTTTACTTTGTGTGTGAAAAATTAGATTATTTGAGAAAGAAATGATGGATTCATTGTCTATGATGAGATGTATTGGTTCCATGATGAGAAATCCCAATTCCTTCATGAATAATCATAACCATGAGATCTCATGTATGGCATGGCAAAGTGCTATATACTCTGCTTCCATGCTAGAGAGAGCAACTGTAGGTTGCTTTTTTGCACTCCAGCTGATAGGACCACTCATGACTATTGTAGTGTAGCCAGAAATAGACCTTTGATCATCAGGGCTATTTTCCCAATTGGCATCTGAAAAAACTTGAATGATCTTAGTACTGTCAAATGATTTTGGGCTGTAGATGATGCTCAGGGTCTAGTCTGCCTTCAAGATATTTGAATACCCTTTTGACAGCACTTCAGTGCTCAGTTCCAGGGTGATTTGAGAACTGGCAAAGAGGTTGAACTGCAAATGAAATGTCAGGATGCATGGTAAGTGCCCATAGCAACATTTCAATTGTGATAGAATATTGTTCCTGGATGATGGGATTATGTAGT